TCACGCCTGTCTTCTGTGTGGTCGTGGTATTACACCGGGCGTGCCGGCCCTGCAGTGCTAAGATGTTAAAGCGGGCACTACCACTGTCAAATAGATATAGACAGATAGATAAGAGATTTAGAAAAAGCTTTTAAATGAAAAATGCCATATTGCGTAAACACATAAAATTTAATTTGACGCTGAAAATACGATTACCGATTTACAAAATACTAACTACAAATGAGTATTTTTCGGTATCGGGGGAAATAAAAAAATACCCTTCTGTAGGGAAGACAGGGTTAGAGTGCAGCTATTAAAGTGGGACACCGACAGATACCCAGACTGTACATAAAACTGTGTTCACCGACACACTAGTCCCTTTCTTCTTCACAAAGCTGAAATAACATGTCTATGCACATTCATCGTAAATGTTTACATATACAAAGTTTTAGAAAATCACATATAACTCCCGACGTTCTTACGGTGAAGGAAAACATCGTGATGCAACCTGCACATATCAGCGAAGATAATCAAAGATATGTGTGAAGTGAACCAACCCGCACTTGGCCAGCGTGGTTGACTATGGCCTAGTCACCCTAACTTTAAGGTAGGCTCTGAGCCCTTCGGTGGGGACGTATAGTGAGCTGGTGATGATGACGATGATGATATAAATCCGGTTTTAAACATAAAATGTACAGTCGGGGCTACAAAAGCTACAATCGTTAGAACATAAAATTTGCTGCTCTTCCATACATCTCTATCAATCGTCATATCTGAATCCACTCCTATCTTAAGCATAACCTCTTTCACACAATCCATCCAAACTTTCCTCGGACTTCCTCTTCCTTTGTAGCCATCCATATTCATTCTTAACACTTTCGAGTTTATGTCCCCATCATCTCGTCGCATAATATGTCCATACCACGCTAACCTTTTGCTTCTCAAATTCTCCACCACTGGCGCTACTTTCAAACTTCCTCTAATGTACATATCCGTTTGCATGTATCCGATTATCAATAAATTTCATTGACGGATCTATACTAATATAATAAAGCGTAAACACACGCTTTTTGTGGCGTAGGATGTCAGCAATTACAGCATATTTTTGAATTTCTTTAATAAAAAGCCCCACACTTATGTCACGCTTTAGGCTATAAATTTTCAAACATTTAAACTTAATGTGGGAAAGAGACCATAAGTTGCTGCCAACATCAAGGAAGCAAGGTTGTCATGGTTTGTCATCGTCATGTCATTTTGACATTTGCAATTGAAAATATGACATATGTAAACAGTAAAATAATTTTTTCATAATTTTATGCGGATGAAGCTGCACGGGAACAGCTAGTATGTGAATAAAATACAACGAAGACCCTTACGGGTTTTTTAATATTTTGGAAATACTATTTATGTAGCTGAGTGTACATGCGTTGATGTTACGAAATATATACAATATCATAAACTGACGTACGATCTAAAAGTGTACTTAGGATAATAAAGGTATATAGGTACAATAAACCTAAAATACATTTGGCAAACGTGCATAAAACAATATAGAGATTAGAAGCTTTCGCCCACGACTGCGTCTTTGTAGTATTAAAAAAAACAAGTAACCTATGTGTCCTTCCAGACTATCCTAGGAGGCCTAATTTAAGTCCCTTTCCCTTTACCACCCTTTTCTTATAAGGAGAGGATGGGAAGGGAAGTGGATTTGACGGTGGAGGAGATGCATAGGAAGGGGAAATATTCTCTTTATATACGTCTCCTCCTCCGTCGTATAAGGGTAGGCAACGCATCTGCAAATGCGAATGTCTATGGGCAGCGGTCGCTTCGCCTTTTTGGCGGATTCAGGTGGCCGCTTGCTCGTTTGCCACCTTATGTTTTTAAAAAAACCTCTACATTTTTTTAAATTGCAAAACCAGCGCTTGACCACTACCCCACCTAGACCAAGGTGAAGATGTGGTCGAAGGATGGTACGCGCTACATCTGTACAATTTCATCGAAATCTGTTAAGCCGTTTATACTACAAACCCTAACAAACATCCATCTATACTTTTCTATTTACAATATTAGGAGGAAAGTAGGAATTAGTATGATTAACCCATTTCAAAAAGGAGGTTCTCAATTCTATTTTAACATTTTTTTGTTTTATGTGGAATAGTTGCTATATTGTTTCGTTCTTTTTTTCATAATTAAAAACTAACCAGTAATTTTTGGGTTATCCTTAATAAAGATTAAAAAACTCTGATGAAAATGTAATGTTTTCTTTTGAAGTCCTTTTTTTAGTTCAAATAATAATGCCGTCAGATTTTCGGAAATACGAATTTAACGAAAACAGACGTTTTCAAGTATACTCTCCTTTTTAACAGTAATTTTGGTAAAAACTGGCTTTGTATAAGTGTTTCAGAGTATGTTATATTCATGCATGTTATTAATTTGACTGACAAATTAAGAACTCTTTAAAATCAAGAAAAAGAATCATACATACTTATTGCTCAGTTCTCTACACCTTCGAAACTAATCAATAAAACTCACTTCACATAAAAGATTATCGGAATCATCACCAAAAGCCACTTAATAGTAAAATAATAACCACCTTCTAACAACCGAATAATGAAGAATTAATAATAACGATTAAAACACAATTTATTGTACATTAATAAAATATAAATTAGTGCCCCATTTGAGGAAGCGACTACGTGCTTTCGTTCAGAATAATTATCGACTGAAAACGGAAAGCTCTGGACTCCGACCTGAAGGTTTTTCCACTAGTGTTACCGTTTAAGGAAGCTTTTAATTACCACAAATATAGGGAAGTGTAAAATTATCAAGCGTCTTTACTTGTTTGCTATGTTTACATTTTCGTATAAATTCAGTAAAAATAAATCTAAGAACTTTTGGTAAATAATTTTTTAGTTTTGTTAATCCAATTTCGTAAAAGACATGAGTTTATGGTTAGTTGGCAGATCATAACCTTAAGATTATGGCAACAAGTTCCTTTTGTCAAACCTGTCAAAATCAAATCAAATACCAATTTCTGATTATTTCTTGTTTTTGTTTTTTTTTTTTACACGAAGTTATTTAATTTTTTAGAACCACTATTTTCTAAAGGACTTTACTATTAATTGTCTTTTACTTTAGGAATTAAGAGTAAACCTGAAACGAATTATTATAGCGTTGTAATGGATGCCAATAATACAACAAAAAATGCTTTAAAAAATATTCCTGCCAGATATGTGAGAAGTCATATAAAAATCAAACCAAACTTTCACAACATGTAAACATTCATAATCCAGACAAAGCATACAAATGCAATATTTGTCTAAAGAGATATTCGCACTTGCAAAGTCTTCAAAGTCACGTAAAAATACATATAAATGGAAGATGTTACGTATGTGAAAAATGTAGTAAAACTTTTACTAATAAATATAGCTTAAATAGGCATATATTAACACATACTGATAATAAAAAATATGAATGTGTTATATGTCTGAAAAGATTTAATCAAAAATCTCATTTAGACGCCCATAGTGTAGTACATAATGGTATAAAACTTTTTCTTTGTGATGTATGTGGCAAAGGTTTTACACGCAAGGACACATTGGTTGTTCATATTAATTTCCATAAAATAAATAACTCACAATCAGTTAAAAGTAAGAATACAGGACTGGCTGATAATTTTATAATTAAAAGAAATACAAAAATACCACTGGCTGATGAAATCAATTTAAAAGAGAAACAAAACACTGGTAGTTATGAAATGAATTATGAAAAAGAAAATTTACCAATAAACCCTTTGAAAAGTGAATTCTTTTTGGATATGAACAAAAAAATACCTAATTTACATACAGAACATAAAAATACAATTGAAAACCATCAATGTCTGCATTGTAATAAACAATATAAAAACATAAAATCCCTTAAACTACATATGAATTTACACACTCTTTATAACACACATAAATGCGAAATATGTTCCAAAGTTTTTACAATAAAAAGCAAATATGATATACATAAATTAAGTCACTCAGGAATAAAACTATATTCCTGTAACTTATGTATTAAAAAATTCACAGCAAAACACTCACTTAAAATACATCAAAAAAGCCATGACAGTTCCAAACCTTTTCAATGCACTTTATGTGGAATAAGGTAGGTTTAAATTGTGAAGAATTAGTCAACTATGCTGGGTCAGTAGAAATTGCTTTCTTATCTGTAATTTTTGAGTAAAAAGTTTGTAATACAGTTTACTAGCTGTCGCTTGCAACTGGCCACATGGAATTAAAAAACAAAAGTAAGTAGCCTGTGTCCTTCCAGACTATCCTCTCCATCTAACCTTTTCACCAAGTTTGGTACAGCAGTTTAGGTTACAAACATCCTTCTAAACTTTCGCATTTTTAACATTAGTAATATCAGAAATCTTTTTACAGATTCACTAAGAAGAGTTCACTTGACAGACATTCTTTCATACATACTGGTATGAAGCCATATAGATGTGGAGTATGTGACAAGAGTTTTATCCAGAAAATACAATATACCAACCATGAGAAGACACACAATGGAAACAGACCTTATTTATGTCAGGAATGTGGCAAAAGTTTTAGTAGAAAAGACAGTTTAAATGTTCATAGAAAAAAATCATAAGCTTGAAATACCACAATGAAACATACATTTATATGCGGTTCTCACTTGCGCAGTACAGTAGGATAGTTGTGATGGCCAGTCATGGATTGTATGGATTTACTGATGCCAGTTGATTGACAGTCTAGTTATTTAGCAATACTGGCCAAGTGTAAACTGCGTTTTTAAAACTTTTTACATTTATATAGTTCTGAATTAAAGAAATATATTTTGTGCCTATAAATGTTTTATTTCTTACAATTGTTTTGGTGATTTTTTTATACAAGTGCTGTAATTATTTTTGTACTAGCTTTCGCCCTCGACTCCGTCCGCGTGGAATTAAAAAAAAACTAAAGTGAGTAGCCTATGTGTACTTCCAGACTATCCTCTACATCTACCAAATTTCATCGAAATCTGTTTAGCCGTTTAGGCTACAATATCTAACAAACACCCATCTAAACTCGCATTTATATTAGTATGATTGTTAAATAAAAAGAATAGTACTGATTAGAGTTTATTTACAAAATAAAATTAATATTGATTACATTGAAAGGCATTCAAACTTACAAACATTAACAATAACTCTAAAATTATCTATTTCTAATAAATTGTATGGCTTATACAGTTTAATAACAAAATTAGGAGCTATAAAATTACTATTTATGCTTATTAAATTAATTACAATTAGATATTCCCCATCTTTTAAATCTTTTGCCTCAATTAAATAACAGCCATATTTGAATTGTACATTTTGAATTCGGAACACCCAGTTTTCACATGTTGGTATTACAAAATTTGAATTTGTAGCCAGGAACTTCTCATGCTGCCATAGACTAATATTTGAGTTTTGTTTTTTTAATAAACCAGCCAGTCTGTATGCCAGTCCATCTTTTTTGTATTTCTTCTTTGTTTTTTCAATATTCTCACAACTTGATTGAAAACTGTTTTGTTGATTTGTTTGGATATCCTTTGCTTGGGTTATTATATTAGCTATTTCTAGATCTTCGCAGGATTTGGATATATTTTGAGGTGTGGACTCACACTCACTTATTGACTGTTGTGATAGACTTTGCGAACTGAAATTACTGTCAAAATATGTTTGTACTTTTTTTATTAAATTAATTTTTGTTTTTGTTGTATTGTAAGATTGATTTGTTCCAAAAACCTCTACATCTGAGATATTTTCTATATTTAATTTCGATATATTTGTATTGTTTTTTGCTTTTACTTCATTGCCAGTAATTTTATGTTGATTAATTAATTTTAGAACATTATTGTTTTCGATAAACAATTTCTTTTTAACACTAGGAGCTGTTTGAGGTGATTTCTTTGGTTCTAATATAGGGCTTAATACTTTCCCACAATTTTGTTGTTTCGATGATAATATTGGTGAAGTAGGTATGTTAACTTCGTTTTTGAACGTTTTTAGACGTGATTTTAAAATTGGACTTTCTGGATATTTCTTGTTACTTTTACAAATTAATACTGGTGATGATTCTATGATACGATTTTCTGAGTATAATTCATTGGTCGTTTGATCAGTAACTTTATTGTTTGAAACTTCTATGATATCTAAGTTGGATACATTTTGGTTTACCTTCTTTTTCCTTTTTCTTCTCCGAATGTTGGTAAATGAATTATTTAAGATGTGTTTATTTTCACAATCACTTGACTCACTGGATGACCAAAGGATGTCGTCGCAATTATCATCAGAATCAATGTTATTAAATTTCTTAGTAAAAATGCTCTGTTTGAGTTTTTTCATCTTTGTAACTCGATGAAACACTTTAAATGATTTAATTCGAACACATTTGAGTCACTATACAAGTTTTTTGTTTAATTAAATTAGTTGACTTAGAATTTAGCACGCAATAGATTTGTTTTGAATAATAAATTAGGTTAACTTTTGTGTTATTATTTTTTTGAAGGATATCAGTGATTTGATTGACATTTTAATTTGATTCTTTAAGTTGGTAGTAGATTGGTGAAAGGCAAAAGTGACAGTACAAACGAGCGTTTTTGAAAGATCGTTTATTTGAACAAGATTATTACAAAACATTTTTTTTTTACTTTTTCTTTTCCTTGTTTCATGTCCCTTAAGGTATTCGATTTGCTAGCTATTTTTAGTAAAATATTAGTAAAGACGCATCACAATGACGCGACGTCTATTAGGATATATCTCACTTTTAAACGTATTTCCACCGTTTTTGATGTCAATCTTAAAAAGCCCTGTATTCTTACAACTTTAAATATTGTGAAAACCTTGTTGAAAAAACGAGCGTTATTAAGCTGATCGTTTGTAGAAATCAAAAATGACACTAGTTCCGCAATATTTACTACGCAAAGTTGGCAGCACTGGTGTTGTGCAACCTTGTTATTCTGCTAGCTTCATTCACGTCGATTGAGTTCTCAAAACAAATACGCACAAGTTGAATACATAACACCGAATCGCCGAATACGTGTAATAAACCTCTTCAATTCTCATTGTTTAATGTTGATTCTAAAAGCGTTTTCCGCAGTTCTCTAATAGAAAACTGCTTGCATTGTGTAATAACATTGCATAAGAACGCTTTGAGAGATTTCAGCCGGTTTAGCAATGGAAGTCGACCGTATCGTTTGCGATTCAGAAAACGTGGCGTCCGATGAAAATGATAAGAGTGTGGTAGAAGGAGGCGCGGGAGACTCGGCTAGCTCTCATACCGGTCGTATTAAGCGTAAACACAGGAAATATGGTAGAAGCAACAGCAAGGAGGCGGTCGGCGTGGTGTCAACTCCATTGCCGAAGTATAGGAGCTGGAAAAACTGCCGCAGACCGCGAAATGGCCACGGTAGAGGCCTGCCTAAGAAAGGTAAAACATTGTTATAATTTCTGTGTTATTCCAACCTATAAAGTCATTAACGTGATCGAAAGTTCTGGAAAGATTGCTTATATCGTAGTATATTTGTAAATTATTGATTTGTTTTTTGTTTATACCGGCGTTCGGTCGTAGCCGTGCATTATCTTTTATGTACTTATGCAATTAAGAAGTTTTCTATGACGCATTAACAAAAATAATCTTATAAGAATTGACCTGATTCTGACATAACAAAGGAATATTTTGGTGTTTTGTTATCAATATATTTGTGCATATGGTTTTATTTTTATGTTTTCATGACTTTATATGTAGTGTTATCGATGTTATCTGTAATGTTTTATTATGTTTAAACATGTGGTCGTATTATTTTAGCGTGTTGAGGTGTGGCTACCAACATAACAAACGACATTTTAGTGTTCCAAGGTCACGCAAACATTCGACTTTTGCGCAGTAGTAAGCTATTAAATTGGCGTAGGTCATTTTTGTTTACATTTTTTCCCGCCTTTATATTGTAATTTTTTTTTCTACTAAAATTTATTACAGATAAAAATACTTTAACCTAACTTTCCCATTAGTTTGAAAGAAATCCTTATTTCAGATTTATTATAAAATTTAGTAAATGAAATTTTTTAATTCCATAATTTACTTACCTATATCTTCCTGCAGTCACTTGAGGGTCAGCATAGTATATATAATCTTCTTAATACATCTCTATCAACCCTCAAACTTGATTTTAACATATGTAGATCCTACCATTACTTCTTTTTTGTAACTACCTACATGTGGATTTCTTTATACCAGTAAAGTAAGCCAGTAACATACAATATCATTGCTGGCATGGAAACGCTAACTGGTGCAAGTGAAATAGATTTGAAGGAACTTTTTAACTTACTTTGAAAAGAGATTCTCATTTCATTTGTATATTTTTGTTAAACTAGGAATACCCTTTTATGGTTAATTAGCTTTTGCACAGGACTTTGACCGCATGTAATTAAAGAAATAGTAAAAATATGTTACTCAGTGATAACCTAGATTTTATAATGGTGAAAGAATTTTTTTAAATCTGCCCGAGTAGTGTTTGAGTTACATGCAATTATTGCAAAAACACTTCTTTTCACTCTATAATATTAGTAAAGATATAGATTAGTGAAGAAACAATTTGTTAAATATAAAAATAAAAAAAATGGAAATAAACACATTTGCTCGTATATCCTTTATTTATTTATAATACTAGCTGTAGCTGGCGTTTTCGCCCCTGTAATTTAAAAAAAAAATAGAAAATATAGCCTTTGTTACTCACTGATAACATAGCTTTTTTTAATAGTGAGAGAATTTTTGAAATCGGCCCAGTAGTTTTTGAGTTACTTCAATACATCTACACTATATACTATCTACACTATTATAATAAAGTGTAAACACACACTTCTTTGTTGCCTAAGATGTCAGCAATTACAGCATATTTTCGAATAACTCTTTTTTTAATACAAAGCCTTACACTAACATCACGCTTTAGGCTATACATTTTCACGCCTTTAAACTTAGGGTGTAAATATTTTGGATAAAAACCCTAATGTGAGACCATAAGTTGCTGCCAACATCAAGAAGCAAGGTTGTCATCATGTCATGTCATTTTGACATTTGTAATTGATAATTTGACAAATGTAAACAATATAATAAAATTTTCATAATTTTATGCGGATGAAGTCGCTTGGAAATAGTTAGTACAAAAATACAAATCTTGCCTCTTTATAATATTAGGATAGATTATAAGTTTATCAATATCTAATCTTTTAACATATTAATCAATGTTACTGTTTTGTGGAAAATCTGTTTGTTTTGATAATAAAAAAACATTTGTTCATACTTTGACATGATAACATATTGATAAAGGTACTAAAGATACTGCCATATACAACTTTTAAAGTGTATTTTTTTTTATTTTTAATTTCATTTGTAACTAGCTATAGTTGTGTGTTAACACATAATTTTGAATAAACATTTTTTTTAATAAAAAAAAGCCCTATGCATTAAGGACATTGTCAAGAAAGCAAGATTGCCATGGTTGTCATTTGTGCACTTGCATTTGAGAATTTGACAAATGCAAACAATAAAATAAAGTTTTTACAATTTCATGCGGATGAAGCCGCACGGAACAGCTAGTAAACAAATATAAGCAAATAAAGTCATATAGAATAATAATAATTAAATTATAGATTTATTTCAAATCCAATAAGATCCATAAAGTGTTAGTGTTTGAACAAAACTTGTGCTAGTAGAAATTAAACAATATTCATGTAATAATCAATGTGATGTGCAATACAAGTCGTTTAAACGATCCGATTATATTTTTTAACGAGCATCGACAAATTCTCCGATTGTACATTCATAGTATAAGACCTAGTTCAGTTAGCAAAGATCATGACCTTGAAATACGAAACCGGCTAAGGTCTAGGTTACTAGAGATCGATACTGACCCTTACAGTACATACAGAATTGAAAGGGGTTGTTTTGAATGCACCCCGTTTATTTTAACCCCTGTTGCTAGGTTGGGTATATTTTTTTACCGTTTTTAAATGCTAGCTTTTGCTCGTGACTTCGCGTGTCAGAATAAAATGTAATCTCTAGCTAACGTTACTCAATGGTAACATAGCTTTTTAATGGTGGAAGAAATTTAATATTGGCCCAGTAGTTTTTGAGTTATTTCAATACATACAAAAATACAATCCTCTTTATAATAATAGTATAGATAAACAAATTTATCCTCGTTTAAATATAAGTTAACACGTTAATTAATAAAAACATTCAAAGTTCATTATACTGATATCTATCTGTACTTCTATACTAATATAATAAAGCGTAAACACACTACTTTGTGGCGTAGGATGTCAGCAATCACAGCATATTTTTGTATTATTCTTTCTTTAATAAAAAGCTCTACACTTACGGCACGCTTTAGGCTATATATTTTCACGCTATGAAACATAGGGGGTAAATAAATTGTACAAGTAACCACGTGGGAAGGGGATCATAAACTACAAGCTGCCAACATTAAGGAAGCAAGGTTATTATGGTAACGGTAATTTTGACATTTGCAATTGAGAATTTGACAAATGTAAACAATAAAATAAAGTTTTTATAATTCTATGCGGAATTTAATGTTTTTCACTCTTGTTATTATGTCGTATGACCTCTTATATATGACATGTTATCGATTTGCCCTTGTCCCTACGGAGGGTCGGCATAGAGTACTACATACATCTCTACCAGCCGTCATAACTAAATTCACTCCCTTAATATCTTTTACACAATACATACACACACTTTCTTCGGTCTTTCTCTACCTTTTGTATTTTTTTATGCCACTAGTTATTGCTCGCGACTTCGCTCGTGTGAAATCTATATCTATATATACAAAATTAGAGTGTGTAATATCAAAAGAAAAAATCCAGATTTCGGGAAGATGATGTATTTGCGTTGCTGATAATGAATATCGCATTTAATTTTTTTTTGTCTGTCTGTGTTGGGTAATCTCTGAAACGACTGGGCCTATTTCGACCGGACTTTTACTGAAGGGTAGCTGACATAGACGGGCATATTATTGGCTACTTTTTTATTTTAAGCGGAACCAAGTCGCAGGAAATTAATATAATAAATCCAGCCTATGATATTTTCTGATAACGTAGATTTTTAATGGTGTAAGAATTTGAAATGGGCCAATAGTGTTTTTGAGTTATTTCAATACATACAAAAATATAAATCTTTCCTCTTTATTATATTATACGAGCTGTTGCCCGCGACTTCGTCCGCATGGTATTAGAAAACATACAAACTATATAAATTATAAAAAGTTACGTATCCCTCGGGAACCGGACATTTCTCGGGGATGAAGGTTATCCCATGTGTACTCCAGACTTTGTTTTATATCTGTGCCAAATTTCAATACGATATGTTGAACCGTTGCAGAATGATCGAGTAAACATTAAAAAACTAAATTAATGAATCCCACGGGAACCGTAACTATTCCTGGAATAAAAAGTAGCCTATGTGTTCTTCCAGACAATTATCTAAACCTGTGCCAAATTTCATAGAGATCCGTTCAGCCGTTTAGGCTACAAACGCTAACAAACATCCATCCATCCATCTAAACTTTCGCATTTATAATATTAGTAAGATAAGTAAAGAATAGTAGAATGTCGCCGCAACATGACTAAAAACAATGACTCACATTTTGTTATGGCGCGATTACGGTTCTACGTCAAGGTCACGTTGTAGATAACGATGTTTGTAAATAAAACATCACGCTATTCGTGCAAGGGTGTGGGCAGTGTTTAAGATGGCCGATTATTGTTCAAGAAAGGAGTTAGATAATTTAGTGCTGTTTATTTTAGACTTTGGGGCGTTATCGTCACTTTGCGATAAATCCCCCTGTAAAAGTATATAAAAACTAGCTGTTACCGTGCGACTTCATCCGCACAAAATTACGAAAATTTTATTATATTGTTTACAAGTGTCAAATTCTCAATTGCAAATGTCAAAATGACATGACATGACAAAACATGGCAACCTTGCTCCCTTGAGCAGCAACTTATGGTCTCTTTCCCACATTAGGGTTTTTATCCAAAATATTTACTCCCTAAGTTTAATGACGAGAAAATATGTAGCCTAAAGTGTGACGTAAGTGTAGGGCTTTTTATAAAAGAAAGAATTATTATTAAATATGCTATAATTGCGGACATCTTAGGCAACAAAGAAGCGTGTGTTAACGCTTTATTATAATAGTATAGATAGAAAATATGTGGGCAGAGAAAGACCATTATAACTTGGAATTCAATCTTAGTAGTCTCATGACCGGTTTCTCAACTACAGTTAACAATTCGTTAGTGTTTTTGGTTCCATATCTTTCATATGCGTTCCTGAACTACTTAACTTGAGTTTTACCTATTTTAAAGTTAGGTTAACCCGACACCAATTGTTCACTTCATACTAATATTATAAATGCGAAAGTTTAGATGGATGTTAGAGTTTGTAGTCTAAACCGTTGAACGGATTTCGATGAAATTTGGTATAGATGTAGAGGATAGTACGGAATAAGCTACTCACTTTTGTTTTAATTCCACGCAGACGGAGTCGCGGGCGAAAGCTTGATAAAATAGAAACTTCAGCAACCCAACATCAGTAGACTTTCCCCTGTCACTTAGAATGCTGTCACTTGCAGGTGGCGCTGGTGGCAAGGGTGTTTGGGGTGCACCAGGATGTGAGCTTCTAGAGGAATACGAGGAGGACGCAAATGACCCAAACTATGACTCTGAAGCAGTCAGCAATGGAGATATCGAGTTCAAGCAGGTTATTGTGGAGGCGGATCCAGAGGAAGTCGTGGTAAGTAACGTTAATCAATTATATTTACTTCAAAGGAATGATAATTATACAATATAGACATAACAGCTACAATAAGAGAGGTTTACTATTTTCAAGGAATTATTTCGTTACTTTTTAGTGTATTGTTTCTTTTTTGAAAATATCTTATTTTTAGTGTATTTTGTTTGGAAGTCGATTTTGTTTTTTATTATTATAAAAAATATATATATTGTATGCTATTTGTTTTTGAATTAAATTTGCTTTGGTTGTTCCAAAAAGGTTTAATAAAAATATAGAGTATGTTACTCACTGATTTCGTAGCTTTATAATGGTGAAGGATTTTTTTAAATCGGTATAGTAGTTTTTGAGTTATTTCAATAAATAAAAAAAAAAATCTTTCCTCTTTTTAACATTAGTATAGAGAGATAGACGAGGCATAGTGAATTTTTTCACCGGTACTTTCTCAGAACGGTAATATATTCGTTTTCAAGTTTAGTGCCATCTAGTCATGATAGTTTGACAAATGTAAGCAATAAATTAAGGTTTTTAATTTAATGCAGATGAAGCCGCAAGCAACTGCTAGTTTTTTTTATCTTTCATTATCTATATTAATATTATGAAGAGGAGAGATTTGTATTTTTGTATGAATTGAAATAACTCAAAAATACTAGGCAGATTTGAAAAATTCTTTTACCGTTAAAAGGTAATCTGTGAGTAATATAGGCCATATTTTTTTATTATTTTTTTTTTTAATTTCACGTGAGCGAAGTCGCGAGCAACAGTATTGAGTATTTTGGAATTGGATAAAGTCGTAGCTTTTTTATATCTATACTCTACTATTATAATAAAGCGTAAACACACACTTCTTTGTTGCCTAAGATGTCAGCAATTACACCATATTTTTGAGCAATTCTTTTTTTAATAAAAAGCTCTACACTTACGTCACGCTTTAGGCTATATATTTTCACGCTATTAAACTTAGGGGGTAAATATTTTAGATAAAAACCCTAATGTGGAAAAGAGACCATAAGTTGCTGCCAACATCAAGGAAGCAAGATTTCCAAGGTCATGTTATGTCATTTTGACATTTGCTATTGATAATTTGACAAATGTAAACGATAAAATAAATATTCATAATCTCAAGCGTATGAAGCCGCACGGGCACAGCTAGTATCTTTTACGCGTCAAAACAATGTATACGTGAATAAACGCACGGTTTGTTTTCGTGTTGATCGTAGTTTTCCAAGGCTGTTCGGAATTGTGTGTTTTGTTCGCATTTTTGGCACACAAATTGGTATATTTAGGGATTTTTTTAACAGTAAACAATATATTTTAAGATATTAACAAGGAAGTATTAAGATTGAGTAAAAGAGCGTCGGTGGCTCAGGAGTTTGAACACTTGACTTGTAATATACAGGTCTTTAGTTCGAATCCCGCTGTACCAATGATTTTCGAATTTCATATGTACATAACCGTGCACATGACGTGACATGACGTGCCCAGCCTTAAAGACATGTTTATACCAAACTGTTATGAACCCCTGCGGTCATCGTTTGAAACTATGGCAACCAACAGCAAAAAGGAACACATTCAAGTATTTTCTGCCTAACAGAGTAGTCACGGCATGGAACAACAGGCTACTGGATACTGTAGTGACGTCTCCAACAGTCAACGCTTTTAAAAATAGATTAGATAATCTTAAAATCTCCGAGCTACACAACATACAACGCACACGCATCAGCTAACTAGCTGCTAGTGTGTGCAAAATAATAATAATTTACCCGACGTTCTTACGGTGAAGGAAAACATCGTGATGCAACCTGCACATATCGGCGAAGAAATTCAAAGATATGTGTGAAGACAACCCGCAGTGCAGTGGTTGACTATGACCTAGTAACCTAACTTAGGTAGGCTCCGAGTACCTCGGTGGGGACGTATGGTGGTGATTTTTTTTTTTATAACAAGGTGGCAAACGAGCAAGCGGCCACCTGAAACCGTCAAAATGGCGAAGCGACCGCTGCCCATAGACATCCGCAATATCAGATGCGTTGCCTACCCTTATACGACGGAGGAGGAGACGCACATAAAGAGGATATTTCCCCTTCCTATTATTAGACAACTTATTTAATTGATACTGTCGCTTTTAACTCAGAGCAATACTTCTCGTCAAGACTTAGGATGCGCGCCAATCTATCCATACTTCTAGTGACATTGACAGCTGTCAGCTAGGGACGTGACGTTTATGCCGATAATCTAGAGTTGCGCCAATTCTATAGCACGGTACTAATTTTATTCCTAACACTATGCATCTCCTCCACCGTCAAATCCACTTCCTCTTCCCAACCATTCCTTATAAGAAAAGAGTGATAAAGAGAAAGGGACTTAAATTAGGCGATGATGATGATGATGATGATGATGATGAAGATTAAATGTTGGCTACAAACGTAGAGGAAGACTGAAATGTATGGATTGTGTGAAAGATATGCTTAAGGGAGTGTAATATGATGTGTAATGAAATATTACATCATATATTCAAGATATTTTATTATGATATGCAAGTTACAATTTTATTTATCTGTATTGATAACTAAAATCATTTTTTTATTTTCCCAAAAAAAAAATACTTGAATTACAAAGAAATACTAATATTAATAGGCGAATAAGCCGTGTGTAATGTACAACAATTTAATACTTAAAACCATAAAAAACAACTGCAAGTAAATATAAATATCCACGGATAAACATTTACAAACGCACGCTATTAAAATACAGAAAAACTCCGGTAGACTGTTGCGACAAACAAGATCTACTAAACTTGTTGTGTGGTCGTACTACAAGCGGAGACAGCAAGCGATAAGCGGAAGCGATTATTGTTAAAGGGATCACTTCAGGAAAAAGTACCTTGTTCATTGCAACGAGACAAATTCTGTCTATAACAAATAACTAATAAGATAACAGTGAGTACACGAAGGGATAATAATAAAAAGAAACTAATTGTAACAGTGGTAGTGTCCGCTATAACATCTTCGCGGGTCGGCCCGCCCGGTGTAATACCACAACCACACAGAAAACAGGCGTGAAGTGGAAGCAATTCCGCGTACAGTCTGATGAGTGTGGTGCCGGAGGCCTAATTTAGTTTCTTTTCCACCCTTTTCTTCTGAAGAAAAGATGGGAAGGAAATTTGGATTTGACGGTGGAGGAGACGCATAGGAAAGGGAAATGTCCTTTTTATGTGAGTCTCCTCCTCCATCAATTAAGGGTAGGCAGCGCATCTGATTGCGCAAGCGCAATTGCGGATGTTTATGTGCAGCGGTCGCTTTTCATTTCGATGGATTCAGGTGACCGTTTGCTCGTTTGCGACCGTTTATTATAAAAAAAATGTAGTCTAAACTGCTAAACAGATTTCGATAAAATTTTACATACATATATGTAGAAGATAGTCTTGAAGAACACATAGGCTTTTTTTTTTAATTCCACGCGGACGGAGTCGCGGGCGAAATCTAGTAATTTATAAATCTTACGCCCGCTGTTATTATGACCACGCGATCTTGTTATCGTTCGTGTCAACGACCTCGCATCGCCGAGCCAAACTCGACGCTGTTGCTGTCTGTTCGTATTGACCTAGTAAAAGATGTTTGCACAACATCGATCATGATACTAGGTATAAAATTGTTAAAACCCTCTTTATTTTTTAACTTTAAAAGTAATTTTCAAGTATATCTTACCAGCATATTACCCTTTTATATCCAGACCTGGCGCGGATTATTGAAAAATCGCGTGAAATTAAAATACAAAAGCAAATTGCCTACGTGTTCTTCCACACTATCCTCTACATCTATGCCAGATTTCATTGAGATCCGTTCACCAGTTTAAGCTATAAACTATAACAAACATCCATCTAAATTTTCTAATTTATAGTAGCAGAATTTTAGTTTTTTATAACGTAAATATTTCTCGGGTTTGAACCTTATCCCATGACTCCAGACTTTGATTTTGCATCTGTGTAAAATTTCAATAAGATATGTTGAAACGTTGCAGAATGATCGAGTAACCAATAAAAAATTAAATTAATGAATCCGAATAAAACCGTAACTATTCCCGGGATAAAAAGTAGCCTATGTGTTCTTCCAGACTATGCTCTAAACCTGTGCTGAATTTCATGGAGATCCGTTCAGCCGTTTAGGCTACAAATGCTAACAAACATCCATCCATCTATCTAAACTTTCGTATATATAATATTAGTAAGATTCAATAACAAGAGCATCGTAATAGTCCTTTGTTTACGATTTAAAAATATTATGCAAACGTTCAAAGGCGACAATGTAAAGGTAACTTTACACATGTCAAATAATATTTATTTTAAATCATCTTGCTTATGTTATAAATGCGAAAGTTTTGCAGACTATTTGAACTATGAACTATGAAACGTTTTATTATTTTTTTTTTTATTTTTTTTTATTATTATTATTAGACTAAACTCTTGAAATGATCTCGATTAAATTTTTCATAGATGTAGAGAATAATCTAGAAAAATACATACGCGATTTACTTTTTTTTTTGGTTTTTTAACTCCACTAGGTCGGTGTCATGATTCAGAGTCACATCAGCGAAAACTAGTAATAAATACGAAAGTTTAAATGGATGGATTTTTTTACTACATATCTTCAAAATGATTAAATGGATCTCGATAAAAATTGTCATAGTAGGACATAGGCTAATAGCCTATGCATATGACGCCAAATTGTACCAAACTTTTTTAAGTATACTTTATTACTATAAAAACATTCCTGCAAAGACTTTTTTAGTATAATGTGATTTAGTGGCAAAATTTAATGATTAAAAAGTGTCTTTTTTCATATTCCCTTAATAAGTTCTAAAACGCACACTATTGGTCGAAGCAAGTGGCTTATCTAATATGGCGTCGCTGTGTTGTCAATACACAGTTCATTTACGTTATTTTATATAGAAATACACTCTTGAAGTATTTTTACTGTAAACACGATATCAAAACTTTAAAATACATGCATATTCCCTATTACTATATTTTATTTTATTTTATTTACTCCCAGGTGGATTTGTTGGTGACAGCTAGTCTTCACAACTTTCCGTTAAATACTTTTTGTCCATTTTAATTTGTGTGAATTGAATGTGAAATTTTACACAAAGGAAACTAAATATTTCTTTGATATTTTCGTCCGATACGTGACAAATAAATACATGTTAGTGTGGCATAACCTTTATCGATTTGTTCGATTGTCGATCGTGTTATGCATAGTAACAGAGTTCAACGACCAATCCGAGGCTTTGCAATCCGAGGTCGAATTGAATGCAGGATCTGCAATACAGTATTAAACTAAAATAAGGCTATACTGTCCGTAGCGTGTTTCTTACCACGATTGGGTTATTTTACCGCCCCATTTCTTTTCATACTACCGAATCACTTTTGTCAGCCCGTGAACATGGCTATATCGGTAGCTAAAACAACCCAATTGTGATAAGAAACCCGTATCTTACGAACATTATATTTGTAAAAACCACGACAGTTTAAAGTTATCTTACTTCTTACTAATATTATAAATGCGAAAGTTTAGATGGATGGATGGATGGATGGATGGATAGATGGATGGATGTTTGTTAGCGTTTGTAGCCTAAACGGCTGAACGGATCTCCATGAAATTTGGCACAGGTTTAGAGCATAGTCTGGAAGAACACATAGGGTACTTTTTATCCCGAGAATAGTTACGGTTCCTGTGGGATTCATTAATTTAGTTTTTTAATGTTTACTCGATCATTCTGCAACGGTTCAACATATCCTTTTGAAAGTTGGCACAGATATAAAAAAAAGTCTGGAGTACACATGGGATGAGGTTCATCTCCGAGAAATGTCCGGTTCCCGAGGGATACGTAGCTTTTTGTTATTTATATAGTTTGTATGTTTTCTAATACCACGCGGACGAAGTTGCGGGCAACAGCTCGTATAAAAATAAGGCTGACTGTAACTCTATACACTTTAGAATACAATTTAAAACATTGTACTAAGATCTAGTCACTTAACACTTTAAAACCTAAGCAATATGTACTATCGGGAAACTTGTCGGTGTTCCAACTTAAATGTTACAACATTTAAACGTTTAAAAATGCAAAGTTTACGTAGATTTTTGTTAGAGTTTGCAGTCTAACTGCTGAACGGATCTCGATGAAAGTCAGATGTAGAGGATATTGAACAAAGGTTACTTTTTTAATTACACGCGAACGGAATCGCTAGCGAAAACTAGTATGCTATAGATATTTTTTTATTTTCCAGAGAAAATCAGAACCTGTGATATTGGAATATTTCGAGCATGGTGACACGAACGCTGCTGCGGAAGATTTATTGGAGTTTGTGACCGCTAAGAGGAGCCACTTGGTGTGCGAGACGATTGTGGAGATAGCTCTAGACCATAAGCCTTCGCACTGCGAGATGGCTTCCGTACTTATTTCTGACCTCTATGGTAGGATCTTCTCTGCCAAGGATATTGCTTATGGTGAGTAGAAAAATTGATAGTATAAACTATACTAATATTATAAAGGGGAAAGATTTTTATTTTTGTATGTATTGATATAGCTTAAAAACTACTGGGTCGATTTAAAAAATTCTTTCAACAATAGAGTACCATCATCTTACTTCTTACTAATATTATAAATGCGAAAGTTTAGATGGATGGATTGTTAGAGTTTGTAATCTAAATGGCTCAATAAATCTCGATGAAATTTGGCATAGATGTAGAGGATCCGGAAAAACACATGGGCTACTCACTTTTGTTTTTTTTTTATAAATTCCACGCGGAAGGAGTGGTGGGCGAAAGCTAGTATTCTATGTATTTTTTATTACACCCGGACTAAGTCGCGAGCAACAGCTATAGTTTATGTTACTCAGTATTAATGTAGCTATTTATTAGTGAAATAATTTTTGAAATCGGCCTAGTAGTTTTTGAGCTATTTAAATACTTGGAAAAATACAAATCTTTCCTTTTTACAATACAAAATAATTATATGTAATAATAAGCAATTTCCCATATACTCATATCAAACGTTTCTTCGAACAGACACAAAAGCTGAGTTCTACTGGTTATTGTTAACACTGTATCTTTTTAATTGCCACACCGACAGGTTTCCTAACTGTACATTTATTCTAAAACAATGTTTTGTTTTGTTTCCAGCATTCGAGAGGCTAATGGAGAA